AACAGCAAAGAGGTGGGGGAGCGGGGAAAGAGCCGGGCAGAAGGAGTCACTCGTCCTTCCCGTCTGGGCTGTGTTGTCCCAGGATGGAGCCGGGAAAGGGGAGTAGAAGGAAGGGTTTCCAACATGCTACCTTTGTCCTACAGTTTCTTTCTGTTGTTGGGGGACACCCAATTCTCAGGCATGAAAAAGTGAAGGGCCAGGTGTCTAGCGTAGCCAGCTCTGCCCTACTACTGCTCAGAAAGCCCACCATCCTAGCCCTGTGTCCCTGCAGTCTCTCTTCAGAAGGGTTGTGGGAACTAAATTCTGTTATGAGAGCGGAGAGGGAGTTTTGTGTAGTGTGTGTGCGTGTGTGCGCATACACATGCGTGCTTGTGTGTTGCCGGGGTGAAAGAGAAAGAATACACAGAAATATTGAGACTTGGCCAGGTCCAAGGAGCTGTGAAATGGGGATCCAATTCAGGTTAGGGAATAGCTCTGGCTTGACCTCCTGGACTCTGACAGAAGGGAGAAATGGTTCTCTAGAATGGAGAAATGAAAGAACGGCAGTAACTCCTGAGTAAGCTCCCCCCAACTCAGAGAGTGCCAGTCCTAGAAACTCTCCACCTTACAAAGCTCTGAGCACAGGAGGGTCTCTATCATTGGGGGTAGGGGGGTGAGGATTTAAGAGTATAAACCCTGGAGCAACATTGCTAAGAGATGGGGGTAGGGTAAAGAGAGGAATAAGGTGCCACCAAACCCTTTTAGCGGTCATGACTCCAAAGGAGAGTTAAGTGGGCAGGATGCACAGCCCTGGAAGGCTGGGTCTCAAAGAGGAAGATGGCTCTTGTCTGCCACGGTGCCTAGTCTGGAAGGAGAAATGGAGACAGAGGCTCGCTGTGCCAGCCTCCAGACAGCCACCGTGATCCTGCAGCAGCCCAGAGCTGAGCATGGAAAAATATGCTACTGGTAATGGGCCATTCCGTCCGTCTTCCCCTGGCCAGTGCCAAGGCCCAGCCAGCATGCCCAGGCAGTGGGTGGCTGGGTTAGCCCCTCAGAAACACTGTGGGCTCTTTGTCTGAGGCTGCCTGAGGATGAGCCAGGGGCCTCGCCTCTGCAACCCAGAGGCTAATGGAATAAAGTGGGCCTAAGGGAATTGCTTTCAGGGGACAGAGAGGTCTGACAGAGATGGTGGCCAGAAGGTGACTAGATTGTCACTATTAGGGTCCTTCTCATCGGTTCATTGGATTTGATGCTGGCTTTTAAACTCCTTTCTTTCTCCTGTCCACAGTTGCCAACCCCAGCCAAGGGCCAATAGCAATGTGAATGGTATACGTGACTATTCCCAGACCAAGAAAGGTTCTAAGGTCTTCTGCCCAAGGGTGACAATCACCCCTCTGGAAGGTACCCATTGCTCACAAGGGTTATGCAGTGCTTTGGCTATGGGTATTCAGAGTAAGACATCCAGCCTGATATGCCACCCCATGACCCCTCCTTCAGCTTCCCTCTCAGGTGGCACCAAACCCACACTTCTCTCTAAACCTACCCTGCTCTCATCTCGCTAGCATAACAAGCTCGAAGGCAATGGGCTGCCAGGAAATGTGGGGGCCTAGATATGCACTGGTAATCCAGAGGTGGCTTGGGATGGGAGAGAAGGATGCCAGAATCCCATTCTAAAGCCATGTTCCCTTGGGCATACTCAAGAGTCTTCAATTCCTGTTCCACTGTTTGATGTTCCTCATTCACTCTCTTGGTCCCATTTGGCTCTTGCGTAACGTCCATGGTAGAGCGGGAGAAGTGGTAACACTTTACTGGACAAGTGCAGTAAGACTTGCGTGCACTCAGTACCCAACTCTAGAAGACAAGTGCCATACCTGGGTGGCAGTGGCCCCAGTCTGGAGGGAATCTGTAACTGTTACATGAAGACCCTGTGCCAGCCAAGTTGCACGTGTAGCTACAAACTGCCAACCAGAGAGTTTCCTCACCAGCAGACTGTTATAGGTGCTGGCACTGTTACAGATGCTGGCACCACAAGCCCAAGCCTTGTGGTGGCTGCAGGGGGACCACAACCTTCCCCACAGACTCAAAACAGAAACTCTCTGCCTTCCCAAGTAGTTCAGATCTTCCCCTTTGAGATCTCAAGCCACTTCTGGCTGTTTCCCAGAGATATGGAAAAAGAGCCAGAGGGCTTTTTCCTTGGACTCTTGGGAAACATTATGTCCTGGGGAGTCCAAACTGGATGTGAATTCAGGCCTAAAGAGCATCCACCACCACTACCACTCCCATGGGAATTGCTGTGGCCTTTCTAGCTCCTGCAACAGTACCTTCAGGTTGCTAGAGGTTCCCATGGGCCTGCCCTCCAAAAGAAATGCAGCACCTCCATTCAAGCTCCTTCTAATCTCAAAGGCTATGTTTCTGCAACTCTATGACCGGAGGAAAATGCACCTAGCTCCCCCCAGACAGCCACGTTTCCGCTGGACCAAGTGTGCAGAGGCGGCACTGGGAGGAGGCCCAGAGGGAGTGAGGGCAAGGCTACTGCTCACAGCTGTTTGCTGCTGACGTCAGGTCTGCGTAGCTCAAAGACTAAGGCTCACCTGCCCTGCCTCCCTAGAGTCTCACTCACGCCTGCTTACTCTGTTCTCTCTCCCTTCTTGCAGAGAGACAACATGCAGTGGGCTTCCCTCCTGCTGCTGGCAGGGCTCTGCTCCCTTTCCCGGGCCCAATATGAGGAAGACTCCCACTGGTGGTTCCACTACCTCCGCAACCAGCAGTCCACCTACTACGATCCCTATGACCCTTACCCTTATGAGCCCTATGAGCCTTACCCCTACGGGGGAGAGGAAGGTCCAGCCTATGCCTACGGCTCTCCACCCCCACCAGAGCCCCGCGACTGCCCCCAAGAGTGCGACTGCCCCCCCAACTTCCCCACAGCCATGTACTGTGACAACCGCAACCTCAAGTACCTACCCTTCGTCCCCTCCCGCATGAAGTACGTCTACTTCCAGAACAATCAGATCTCTTCCATCCAGGAGGGCGTTTTCGACAACGCCACTGGGCTGCTCTGGATTGCTCTCCATGGCAACCAGATCACCAGTGATAAGGTGGGCAGGAAGGTCTTCTCCAAGCTGAGGCACCTGGAGAGGCTGTACATGGACCACAACAACCTGACCCGGATGCCTGGCCCACTGCCTCGATCCCTGAGGGAGCTCCATCTCGAGCACAACCAGATCTCGAGGGTCCCCAACAATGCGCTGGAGGGGCTGGAGAACCTCACGGCCTTGTACCTCCAACACAACGAGATCCAGGAAGTGGGCAGTTCGGTGAGAGGCCTCCGGTCACTGATCTTGCTGGACCTGAGTTACAACCACCTTCGGAAGGTGCCTGATGGACTGCCCTCAGCCCTTGAGCAGCTGTACCTAGAGCACAACAATGTCTACTCGGTCCCCGACAACTACTTCCGGGGGTCACCCAAGCTGCTGTATGTGCGGCTGTCCCACAACAGTCTCACCAACAATGGCCTGGCCTCTAACACCTTCAATTCCAGCAGCCTCCTTGAGCTCGACCTCTCCTACAACCAGCTGCAGAAGATCCCCCCAGTGAACACCAACCTGGAGAACCTTTACCTCCAAGGCAATAGGATCAATGGTGAGACTTCGGCAAAGGGGAGTGGGGAGGGCTGTCAGCTGCATTGGAAAGACCCAATTCTGCGTGCTGGGGGCAATACAGAAGAAATAGAAGTAGGGGAACCAAAGAGTACCAATGAAGTAAGCTGAAAACCCTGCCATACCCTTGTACAAAATGGTACATAGTGGCATACTCTTATACTACACAGCAGTGCTAGGAAAAGTCAGTGGGAGAGTGGGTTGGTATGGAAGAAGACTTCCCAGAAGAGGTAAGTCTCAATCTAGGTCTTGAGAGATAAGCGGGCATGGGCTGGAGGGACACAGGACTGGGCCCTTCTGAGAAATGCAATTGCCACAAACAAAGGGACCAGTCATTTAACAGGCCACCTGGAGGGGGCAGCCAGGAAATTCCTGCATCTAAGAGGAAGGGGTCATGTGTTAAGCAGTGAGAGAGGAGTTTGGAGAGGTTTGGGAGGGGGCAGTTCATAGATAGGGAGATTTAAGTTGAACTTCTACGGTCTGTCTCAGGAGGAAAGTGTGCTGTTAAGAAACCGTGGTATCTGCACTTTCTCACTGACCCAGAAGAGGATGAGCTCTCTGTTTCCACCTGATCTACTCATGCCTCAACAGCCTGGTCTTTTGTTTGGATGTTTATTTGCTTTTTAAACATAACAACTGGTGGACAAGAATTTGTAGCCTCTCAGAGCTGAATGCGGCACTTGCTCTGGTTGGTTCTAAAACCCTGCTACCCTTGTACAAAATGGTACATAGTGGCATACTCTTATACTACACAGCAGTGCTAGGAAAAGTCAGTGGGAGAGTGGGTTGGTATGGAAGAAGACTTCCCAGAAGAGGTAAGTCTCAATCTAGGTCTTGAGAGATAAGCGGGCATGGGCTGGAGGGACACAGGACTGGGCCCTTCTGAGAAATGCAATTGCCACAAACAAAGGGACCAGTCATTTAACAGGCCACCTGGAGGGGGCAGCCAGGAAATTCCTGCATCTAAGAGGAAGGGGTCATGTGTTAAGCAGTGAGAGAGGAGTTTGGAGAGGTTTGGGAGGGGGCAGTTCATAGATAGGGAGATTTAAGTTGAACTTCTACGGTCTGTCTCAGGAGGAAAGTGTGCTGTTAAGAAACCGTGGTATCTGCACTTTCTCACTGACCCAGAAGAGGATGAGCTCTCTGTTTCCACCTGATCTACTCATGCCTCAACAGCCTGGTCTTTTGTTTGGATGTTTATTTGCTTTTTAAACATAACAACTGGTGGACAAGAATTTGTAGCCTCTCAGAGCTGAATGCGGCACTTGCTCTGGTTGGTTCTCCCAGAAGTACAAGGAGCCTCTGGTGGCAGGGCAGAGGCCCCCTAGGGTAACATGAGCCTGACCACCGCCAAACCCTGGGGTGGTGGACAAGGACAAGGGCTTCTTGTTTTCCAAGCTCTTCCCAGAAAAGGCCTAAAGTTCTGCCTCTCTGTCTCCAAGAACTAAAATCTTCATTTCAGATTGGATTATCTAGTTGATTTTCAGCTCCCTCTCGGGATCTTGTGTTCACCATGTGCTTACATTACCCCAGGGCCTCTGATATCTTAATCCAGCTGGAAGGTACAGAGCCAGATTTTAACCTCTCTTCCTCTGCAGCAAAGTACCCCTCTCCCTGGGGAATGAAGGACTCATTAATGACCATTGACAAGGGGCTTTGAAGTAGAGCTTGCTGAGAGCAAACAGCACCATCAAAGCATGGATAGGGACTGAGTCCACAACCTCTCCCATCAATACTTTCTCTCCCTGTGCTCAGGGAACAGATCAGTCATTTAGCAAGATGTTAACGAGCTAGCCAGCCCTCTGAGTGAGAGAGGCACCAGTCCCAGAGGTTGACTGTGAGGCGGGCAAGGTGAAGAGGTGCCTGGTTCTCTAGTTGGAAGTGCAAGACACCATCATGTATAGGGCAAACTGTTTCGTATTTAAAGTCTCTCTTTCTTTGGGGTGTTGGGGTGTGGGGTCCTATTCCCAAGGCAGGGTTCTCTGGTCTCTAAGATGTTGCATGCTGCAAAGGGTTTGACATTTGCTTGTAGCTGTTCATCATCCCACCCGAAGTCACCACTACTTATCTGCCACCCATTCTAAATACAGGAGGCTCGTCACAACAGAAATGTCATATAGTATACAGTGCTTTATCAGAGTTTGACCTTGAAAATGTGACAGCAAAGAGCAGCTGTCATGGGAGAGAAGCCATTAGTTATTGCCTAACTGTACAATCAGTGAAACTTGGGATGGGAAAGTCTCCATTGCAGCATCTTGTCACCCTGCCTTCTTGCAGAACCACATCTGCCGCTCAAATACAAGGTGGTTCACCCCTTCCAAAAGCTCTGCCAAAGATAAAATCACCTTAGTCGAGTGTCTCAAGGTCTTGCAAGAAAGTTCTCCCTTAAGTCAAACCTAAAAATGTCCAGTGTCTACCCCAAATCCCTTCTTGTGCAATTTAAGCCAAAGCCCCTTTGTCTGGTTATCTCCCTCTTAGTCTTCTTTTGGCAAAATAACACCAACTCCTTATTTTTCTTAATTAGTGGATTAATACATGTAAAGTGCTTGGTTCGCCTGGCACATAATTGAAAAAGTGATACATAGTAACTGTATTATAAGCTTTTCTTCTATTGCCACTTTGAAACTGCCAGGTACAGTTTTGTTCTGTTTTATTTTTTCATTGCAAAGACGGGGAAACTGAGACACAGAGAAGGAAAGGCAATCTCTTTAGGTCACCCAGATCTTGTAGCATAGCCTCTACCGTCAACATCAAAGGACTGAAAGCCAGGCTTCTCTAGCTGAGAATGGAAGGAGTATCTCTCTGATTCAGACCAACAGCAGGAAAGACAGTTCTCCAAGCTCAGGCCCTCGCCTGGGCAAATGTGAAGGAGGTCTCCCTGCACAGCTGGTCAGGGACCCAGAGCAGGGGTGGGTGGTGAAGGTGGGCTCCCCTCTGAGAGGGGAGCTAAAAGGATGGGAGCTGAAGGGTGTGCAGTGGAATTAGGCCCGGCCCTCTCCCTCCCCCTTCCTTCTTCCATTAGCATCTCCCTCAGTTTTTCCAGCCTGGCAATAGCAGGAAACACAGCTCAGAATGTTATTCAGTAGCTCTGAGATCCAGGGGGCAGGGCGGGTATACCAGGAGGAATTTGGAAAGACTTTTGTCAGAATTTAATCTGGGATGGAAAGTGTCCTCCAGAGTCTCCAAGCAGAAGCCCCTGTCCTATTCATGAGCTTAGGGAAGATAAACAGGGGGGCTCACGGTGCTCGGCCTGTGGATAGAATCTATACATGCTGTGTGTTGAGCAGCCCCTAAGTGCTCAACAGTTGGGATCCAGGACTTTGGCAGGCAGTCTGAAGGCCCCAGGATGGTGTAGAGAATCTGTGGTGGAACCTCTAAGTGCAGTCCGCCGACAGGGTTGGAGGTGATATTTAAGCTGGGCCACTTTACTTCTCCCCAGCCCAACTCACTCCACCTGTTCCACACAGACACCATAGACCTGGCCCCTGGCCTTGGCTCTGCCCCCAACCTGTCCACCTGGAGGCCACCTGATCTATTCCCTGGGACCAGAAAGGAAACATACAAAAGCATTCCAGGTCTCCACACCCCCCCACCCCCACACCGAGTGCTCTCCAAAGAAGGGTATTTCCTGTTCTCATTATTCTTTGGGGCTGGGTTTTCTATCTTACATTTGCAGTACAAGTTAACTGGCTGTAGCCTCAGCCCATCTGCTCTCTGTCAGTCTTGACAGAGACTGAAAACAATCGCTAGTGCTAATTTAAAAAACAATTTCTTCATCTATCTAAGCTCTCCATGCTCTCTTCCTTGCAACCTTCACGTTCATACCCATAATCTCTCCATCCACAATGCCCTCGAAGGTCACCTCTAGGAAGAGAGTCAGGAAAGCCTTCCTCCCATTCCTCCTGCCCAGCTCCAGGCTGACACACAGCTCCTGACCACTGTGGCAAGCAGAGGAATGCCTCTGGTTCAGGCAAAAGCAAGCCCAGCTCTGGGTCTGCCTAAGTGTTACAGCCTACGGAGACCCGACAGGTAACCTCACCCAAAGCCCCTTTGACATGAGCCACCTTCCTGACGCTCTCACACACCGTGTTGAAGGCAGCCTCTAGGGGCTTCAGCAGCTTCTCAGTGGTGACTCTGGCTGTCCTTGCTGGAGTTTTAGCTGAGTTCTTGGTTTTTATCCTTCAAGTTCCTGACCCAGTAGGCTAGAGACAGAGGTGGCTGATCTGTCCAAGAGGACAACCAGAGGGAGAACAAGGTGAATGGTAGCAGAAGGATCTCTATTTAAATCAAACAGAACTACTGTATCAATTAGGATTGCATGGTTTGGAAGGAAAATCTTCAAAAAAGGGTACTTCTTTTGAGATTACAAAAAAGGAGGGTGAACCATATCATATTAAATGCGGGATGCAAGGGAATTATTTATTGGACTTTTGAGCTCCATAGCAGCCCTGTTCATCTATCAGTTTCCATCTCCTTAGACCTCAGGGCCTTGCTCACTCCTTTGGCTTTACTCAGAATGTACACGGACAACGCTCTCAAAGCTCTGCACTCAGAGACACTTGTCTCTCAGACTAGATTTTCTCTCTTTAATTTTCTGCCACTTGCTCTATCTGCAAAGTGTTAGGAAATATTCCAGATTTAAGTCCCTGCATTTCCCCAGTCTTCCTTCTCAAAGCAATTCAGAAACGCCCTCCTCTCCAAAAGCATTCCAGTCTCTTTGACTGCCTTCTGCTGCCACCTGCTGCCCACAGATGGGAAAAGATCAAGGCCTGGCTGGAAGGACATTCCAGGACATTCCAGGGTCTACAGAGAGGGATGGGTATGAGGTGGAGCTACGCAGGCAGAGACCCCACTCTGTCTCTGGTTCTGCCCACTAATTGGTGCAAGTATGACTCCGATCCTGGAAAGTGCCTGCCCCACCCAGCCAAGTTCCACCTCTCACATTAGAAGCTTCACAGAGGCTGTCTGGCCTCACTGCGGACCCAGGTCCCTAATCTGGGCTTCTCCGACCCACCCCCGCCCCTCTTGTTCCCACAGAGTTCTCCATCAGCAGCTTCTGCACTGTGGTGGACGTCATGAATTTCTCCAAGCTGCAGGTGCTGCGCCTGGACGGGAACGAGATCAAGCGCAGCGCCATGCCGCCCGACGCGCCCCTCTGCCTGCGCCTCGCCAGCCTCATCGAGATCTGAGAGGCCCACGCACTGGGCGCAGGGCCAGAGCCCCCATGCCCCTCTGCATTTGGCTTGATGGTTTGGTTTGGCTTTTGCTGGAAGGTCTGGGACAGACCATGTGACAGAAATCCATGGGCTCCCTCTACAGTCTTCTACCCTGTAGGCAAGTTTAGGTGGAATCAGGGGACAGGCAGCCTCCTTCTGAGGGACATGAAACTCTCCTTTCCAGGACAGAAGTGGTGGCAGAGGGAGTAACCCCTGAAGTCCCAACTCCAGAAATCTCATTACCCATTCTTCACAATGATCTGGTGCCATGAACCCTAAAATTTGCTTGAGCAATAGTACATAACCTTATTTTTTAAACAATCACTGATTCTGTCTGTGAGCAGCGCTTGACAGCTCTCCCATGTGCTGGGCTAGTTGTGCAGTTACTCTGGGCTCCCACTCGCTGCTTCTCAGTATATACCTCTTTGGCCAACTGCCTCCTCCAAAGTCCACCTCATCCACTCAACATTGCCGCACAGACACCTCTTCTCTGCCTTGGGCAGAGGCAAGAATCCCCAAGGCATATGCTTATCTGCCCAGTGCCTGTGCAGAGAACTCACACTCGTGTCTGAGGTTGGAAGGACACTAAGAGTCACCTCTACACCAGAGGTCACCAGTATGATGACCATGTTCTTGGCTTGATGTAGGAGGAGAAAACCAACCTCAGGCTTAGCTAAATGTATGGGGCTATATTTTAGCAGCTAAGCAATTCTTTGAAGGTGGATCAGACTTCAAAAGAGGAAAGGCCGTGGACTCTGCTGGAGACTAGTTTGGGCTTGACCAAAAAAAAAAAAAGAGGAAAGGCCAGATTCTGCTTATCATCAGCATCCATAATGGAGGCAAACACACCTTGAATTGGCTGAATTGAGGAAGCAGCTGCAGTAGTTTCACTCTTAGCCAGCACTCTCTGCATGCCCAGCAGCTCCCTACCTGGGTCTTTATCTTCAAAGGCAGAATCCATGCGGTTCTCAAAGCATTAGAGAGGTAATCTGTCCTCTTCTCTTATGCAAGCAGAAAGGTCTATATATCCTGATGGGAGAGACAGACTCCAACCAGCCCTGGATTTGCCAGAGGAGGAGGCTGTGGTATTAATTGTTTTGGTATCTGTACTAATTGTTTTGTCCTAAGGCCACAGTTAATAGTACCAGCTCTGGCTGGAGATGCTCATTGGGTCAGTGAAATCCAGGCCAGGCAGCCAAATCTTGCCTGTACTGAGCACAAAACCCTCTGCTTTCACATCGCTGAGCTACACTCTCATTACTGAAGATGGCTGTTGCTTTATAGCTTGTGTGGAGAGCAATTAATTCTTCCCAATTCTGAAAGTAGTGTTGTCTGTGGACCTAACCCTCCTGCTCTTTGGGGTACCATTGGGATGGAGCCATCCAGGCAGCCATGGCCAGGGACTGCTTGAGGACAGCTAGCCCTAATCTGCTTCTTGTCCAGATGCCACCGTGTCCCTGATACAGTGTATGCTTTGAAGCCGTTTCCCTGAAAAGGGAAGGTGGGGATACTTGGACTGCTTCTTGGCTCCAGACCCTGAAATCCACAAAAGCCAAACCAGCTCATTTCAACAAAGGAGCTCTGAGGTGAGGGGCAAGGCTGCCCCTTGCCCCAGGGCTCTTCAGAAAGTATCTGCATGTGAACACCATCATGCTTCTATAAAGGATCCTTATCACAGGAAAAGCATGAGTGGTGGCTAACCCAACCAATAAAGTTATTTTACAATTGCATCTGCAAGAATGGAGTCAATTAAGGCAGACACAGAAGGGTTACTTTAAGCGGGGGGGGTCACATAAGCCTCAGACTGGAGGAGCCCACTTTCTCATCTATTCTGCTTGGGTAGATATAGCTAAGAGGTTTTTTAAAAGTCACCTGTATAAAATCTCTAGTTAGCAAACTCTGTGCTCTGGAAGTTCTTCTTTAAGTCTAACTTCAATCTCACTAGCTCCATATTTCCTTCCATTTGGTCCCCAAGAGATAAAGAAAAAAAATTTTATTTTTCAATCATTCTATCATTTTTCTCCTTCAACCCTCCTCCCTTGTTTACCCAGTAATTATGGCGCTGGTGGGTCCAGAGTATTGTTGTCTTAACTGCGCCTGCCCTCTAGTGGCAACTATGTAGAACTGAGGGCAGTCAAGTACTGCAAAGCCAAGTTGGGCCTGGAAGAGGAAAATAAGCATTCAGTAGCCCATCTGCTCTTTCATTCAACTTCTCAATGCACATTTCTTGAAAGCCTTTAAGAGTTAGGCTTGTGCTTTTAGGACAATTCACTATTTTCTAATAGAGAAATAACCACAACTGATATTTACTGAGCTGAATATATTATTTACTGAAGATTTTCACTAATATATTCTGTGAAATTCTGTTTCTAAATCCAGTGCTTCTCAAGAGGGTAGCAGGGGTGGATTATCCATCAGGCTCTGATGGATAAAAGTTGTCTCTTTTCCTTTAAGCTACCATTTGATCAGTACTTATGTGTTAGGTGTTTTATTTATGTGGCTTCATTAGCATTCCTAAACATTCTATGCCAGAGGTCCTATTATTTTCACTATTTTATATAGATGGAGAGACTGAGGCACAGAGGCTGAGGTCACCCAGGAAGAAAGCATCGAGGCCAGGATCTGACCCCAGGCCATCTCTCTCCCCAGCCTGTCAGTTTTGCTATACTGTTTCTATTGTGCTAGCCTGAAGATCTCTGTGTTACTGGTGTATGCAGAACTTCTAGGAGTGTGGGGGATGCTTGGTGGTAGATGGGGTCTCACAAGTGGGGGGAGGCCATCCGACTTTATTTTTTGTGGACCTAAATCCATTCTGCTAGCATTCACAGTCCCTTTATGAATTTTCCAATTAACATTCACTCTTCATCAATGAATATTTACCACAAGCCCTTGGTCAGGCACTGGGGATACTGCAGACAATAAAAGCAAGCCTTCCTTGCCATTGGGGGATTTATAAAATGGTGCAGTGACAAGCAGTGAACTAAAGAGTCACCCCAAGGACCATATAGTTACAAACTGAGAAAGGGCTGTGAAGGAGATGAGGATGGGTCTATATGAGGATTATCAAGGAGCTTGACCTAGTCTGGAGGAACAGGGGCAGATAATCAGATATGGAGGGAGAGCGTGCTTACCTAGATGAAGAGGTGGGAGGAGAGTCCAGCAAAGATAACAGCATGTATAGACCTCCTAATGCAGGAGGAAGCTTCCTGGACACTGAAAGACAGCAAAACTGGCTGGGGGCACAGTGGCAAGGAGCAACGAGGCTGGAGCTGTAGGCAGGGGAAAACCATCTACTGCCTTTATTCTCTTATTTCAGACACAAGTACCAAAAAACTTTACCAACATTCCAAATCCCCGGCTCAATCTCACAGTTCTGTCTTCCAGCAACTAGTGGGCAGATCTCACTTCACACCATCAGAGCCTTTCCTGAAACTTTTAAAGGCGGCAATCCATGCCCACTTTCTCCCATTCGGCTCTGATCAGTACTGAGCCCCAATGGACACTTAACCAATAATCAAAGCATCAGAAGGTATGGTGTAACCAGGGAGTCTTGACATTTGTGGACCCCTTTGGCAGCCTGCCAAAGCCTATGGACCTCTTCTCAAAATGTTTTTGAAGGTATAAAATAAAATCCATTGGATTCCAAAGGAAACCAATTACAATGAAGTACAGTTATCAAAATGTATAAATATTTTAGATCATATAAATGTTTATTAATGTCATAAATAATGAGATCCAGAAACAAGTCTAAATAACTACAGTCATTTCGAAGTGCTAATGAGCATGAATGTATGTATTTTCAATAACTGTAATGTGATATGAAAATATCTGTAATTTCAGTTGGTGACAAAGCTTCAGGTTGTTAATACTGCAGTGACTTGTTACCTTCATAATTGAAGGGAATGCTGAATTTCAGTTAGCAGTGTGAAAAATGAAGATTCAGTGTTTTCTCATCCAAGTTCTGGGACCCTCCCTAAATTAAGCCATGAAAAGACAGGCAGAAAGGCAGATCATAGAGGAAAGGCAAGAAGAGAAGGCAAATCATGGTCTTGTCTCTCTATGAGCACAGCTCAATCATTCAACAAATTTTTTCTGTATGCAAAATCCTGAGCCAGATAATGTCAATAGTTGGTGCATTTAGTGTATGAAAGAATGAATGTAAAGGTCTCCAGGTACTTGCCGTGGAATTTGGTGGAGACAAAAATAACTAACTTGCATTACATCCACAGGGGAAGTAGAGAGTTGTTTGTGTCTTTAAACTTCACAGAGTAGCACTTTCTATATTACTCTGCTTCTTTCAGTGAACATTGTGTGTTCAAGATTTATCCATATTGATTCTTGTAGGTCCAGTTCATTCATTCTAACCATTGTATGAAAACACCTAAATTTATTTCTCTATTCTCCTTTTGAGGGACATTTAGATTATTTTCAATACTATAATGTTAGAAACAAATAATGCAGTGAACATCCTTTTATCTGTCTCTTTGAGATTGCATTTGAGAGTCTCTCTAGAGTTTACATCAGGATTTCTTAACAGTGCACTACTGGCATTTGGCTCTGGATAATTCTTTGTTGGGCAAGGGGTGGGGGGACAGAGTGGACTGCCTGTAGGATGTTTAGCAGCATCCCTGGCCTCTATCCACTAGATGCCATTAGCATCTGTCCCCTCCCCAGTCCAAATCAAAAATATCTCCAAAGTTGCCAAATGTTCCCTGGGGGGTCAAAACCACCACCAGTTAAAAACTACTGGTATATATGCCCAGGAGGGAACTGCTAAGTCGTGAAATATGAACAATTTACCTCTACTAGATTCTGTCAAACTGCTCTCCAAAGGGGTTGTACGAATGTGAGTGCAAGAATCTTAAACTACAAGAATCAATATGGATAAATCTTGAACACACAATGTTCACTGAAAGAAGCAGAGTAATAAAGTGCTACTCTGTAAAGTTTAAAGACACAAACAACTCTCTACTTCCCCTGTGGATGTAATGCAAACTGCTCTCCCAAGGGGTTGCACTCACACCAGTTGTACCTGAGCCTCCATTTCCCCACATCCCCATGACGCCAAATACTGCTTC